TGTTTAATTTATATGAAAATACTTTAATATATGTAGTATTTTATTAATTGAATAACATTTTCCTAATCTCCCTTTAAATGATTTAAATCATAACCTCTTTTGTTCAATTTGTTTAATTCATAGCCCTGTTCCTATCCAATTCTATTTCATATTCAATTTCATGTCAATTATGGCCATTTGCTTATTTCAATTATAACCTATCTACACTTTTCAATTATAGCCTATCTGAACCTATCTGATTCAATTTAATTCTCAAAAGCCCCATCCTTTAATCTCAGCCATTCGTTCATCTCAATCAACTACAAGATCAATTGATCTTGATCGTCCATATCATTCAAACCAAAGGCTGAGATCAAATCTTCATTCTTATCTATTTTAAACCAAAAGAACCAAAACCCTAAGCCATCCTTCTTTCTTCATCTTCCTCTCATCTCCTCCTCCCCTATCTCTCCCTCTCCTCTAGTCTCCTAGCAGCTCAGGCGAAGCAGCGAACGGCGCCGTCCAGCGAGCAGCCGCGAAAACCAGCCATAAGCCGGGCGCCGCCTCCGATCCGTTCTTCTCGCCAGCAAGCGAAGGCCGCGCCAGCCAGAAGCAGCGCGAGGACCAGCTCCGACCGGCGAGCCTCTTTCTCTCTTCTCCTCCGCTCCAGTGAGGACGACAACAACAAACAGCAGCTCCAGCTGCTCTGACCAGTGAGCAGCGAGCAGCCAACTCCGGCGAAGGCAAGGTAATCACCGGCGAACCCCATCAAAGACGACAACAACAACAGCGAGACTCTCGCATCTCCATTCCTCTCCGCTTTGGCGAAGTTCTAGTAATCCAGGTATTTGATTAATCATCATACATACATAACAGTACTTATAATAAAGCTAAATTGAAGTTTACCTGGACTTTTACATGGTCCAACAACTTCTCAAACACGTCTGTAAGTAACTCTATTCAAATTTATTTAAGCAGACTGGCAAAACTAGATAATCAAACTTGGGATGGAAGGAGAAACAATGTCCGTGAATGTAGATTTATTAGGAGTCTAGACTCTCTAGAGAAAAATTAACTCTTGACTCACTTGAGCCTTTATCTCAATATGAAACTGACACTCTGAAACAATAGAGTTCATTCCAACAATCTTTGTATGCAAACAAGAAGACATACTGATTCCCAAGTAATTTGTGACATTCATCAGTCATCTTACCCAAGAGTCAGTTGTATGGAAGTTAGTGAGCACACTTCTGCATTTATTTTATGTAAAGACCGTCTTTGTTTGAAAGATATACAAACACACCACTGGATAAAACAAACAAGAAACCTCAGAATTAACAAGTGGAGCTCAGGTATAAATAGCCATGTCCTATTGGAGAACCATTCAAGTCAACAAGGCAGAAGCAAAAACATTCAGTCACTCCTGCCAATGTTATGTATGCACATATGAAAATAGAAAGGCTGCATGAATTAGTAGCATCAAGTCAAACCATTTTACCTTTGAAGTATGGAAATCACTAACATGCGCACATAGATAAGGACTCAACTTCTGACCTCCTCGAGCGCACAACATTTCAGAAACTAATTTCAGCATGCGCCCATAAAAAAAGACTTTTAATCAATAAAACAGTATTAGTTATCTATAATGTGTTTAAATTTCTAAAGTTAAAGTACAATTGTTTTCTATAATGTGTTTGTGTCCATCTAGTATTGATACTTAGCTTTTTTTTTTTTTTGAAAAGGTAACTTTGATACTTACCTTTGATTTTGTGATAATTTGTTTCTGTCCATCGAGGGTTGGCTTAGCTTCAAATTAGGTGATAATGTATTTGTTTAGCATAAGTACCAACACTAGTTGATCCTATTGATGACAAAATTGATTTTCTTGCAAAATCACAATTTGTGTCCCTCTAGTGTTGACACTTAGATTTAAATTTAGAAATAATATATTTGTTAAGCATAAGTACCAACACTAGTTGATCCTATTGATGACAAAATTGATTTTCTTACAAGATCGATTTGTGTCCATCTATTGTTGATACTAAGCTTTAATTTAGTATTGATACTTAGCTTTAATTTTGTGATAATTTTTTTGTGTCCATCGATTGTTTGTTAAGCATAAGTACCAACACTAGTTGATCCTATTGATGACAAAATTGATTTTCTTGCAAGATCGATTTGTGTCCATCTAGTGTTGACACTTAGCTTTAAATTTAGAAATAATATATTTGTTAAGCATAAATATCAACACTAGTTGATCCTATTGATGACAAAATTGATTTTCTTGCAAGATCGATTTGTGTCCATCTAGTGTTGATATTAAGCTTTAATTTCGGAATAATGTGTTTGTTAAACATAAGTACCCAACACTAGTTGATCCTATTGATGACAAAATTTATTTTCTTGCAAGATCGATTTGTGTCCATCCAGTGTTGATACTAAGCTTTAATTTAGGAATACTGTGTTTGATAAGCATAAGTACCAACACTAGTTGATCCTATTAGTTGGTGGATTTAGTTGTTGGAATTACTTCAAAAGTAGTTATAGTTAATGTTGTTTAGTTGTTGAAATAAGTTCAAATAAAGTTTAATTAACCCCTAGCTAGTTTGACTCGTTATTTAAAATGATGTGGTTTAGTTGTTGGAATTAAATCAAAACTAGTTAGAGTTAAAAAGTTGTTTAGTTGTTGAAATAAATTCAAATAAATAATGTGGTTTAGTTGGTGGATTTAGTTGTTGGAATTAAGTCAAAACTAGTTAGAGTTGATATTGTTTAGTTGTTTTAAATAAGTTCAAATAAACAATGTGGTTTAGTTGGTGGAATTAATTCAAAACTAGTTAGAATTAAAAAGTTGTTTAGTTGTTTAAATAAGTTCCAATAAATTATAGTGTGGTTTAGTTGGTTGATTTAGTTGTTGGAATTAAGTCAAAACTAGTTAGAGTTAAAATTGTTTAATTGTTGAAATAAGTTCAAATAAATAATGTGGTTGGTGGAATTAATTCAAAACTAGTTAGAGTTAATGTTGTTTGGTTGTTTAAATAAGTTCAAATAAATAATGTGGTTTAGTTGATAGATTTAGTTGGAATTAAGTCAAAACTAGTTAGAGTTAAAGTTGTTTAAATAAGTTCAAATAAATAATTTGGTTTAGTCGGTGTAATTAATTCAAAACTAGTTAGAGTTAATATTAGTTGTTTAAATAAATTCAAATAAACAATGTGGTCGGTATTCACTGTTTTTTTAGTAGTGACGTTTGAAAGGTCGAGTCGAATCCAACCATCAAAATGTTCAAACTTTGTTGTAATTTCATTTAATCTGTCCCTTTAAGATTTTGTTGGATCATAAGATCTGTGAACCTTTGTTTGGATGGTTGTTATATCATTTCATAATTTATCCTATTGTATTGTCCAGTGTTTTGGATGGCGAGAGGCGACAAAAGGCGACAAGGGCCTGCCTCGCCAAGAGGCGAGGCGAGCGGCGAGGCGCTCGCCTTTTTGAATTAAGGCGCCAATTAATACCAAAAATTAAAATTTTTAATTGCACATATAAATATCCAAAATTTTAATAGCAATAACACATATTAGCAAATATTTGAATTTAAAAAACTAATAGTGAACAAAGCACCGAGTGAGTGAACAACCCTGTTCACTACCACACTGAAAACAGAGCACAGTAGTGAGTGAAAAACAGAGTAGTGAAGAAGAAGAAGAAAAGAAGTGAAGAATTAGAAGAGGAGAAGAAGAAGAAGAAGAAGAGAAGAACTGAAGAAGAAGAAACGTATCTGGCAGCAGTCACGAAGCGGCGAAGGAGCAGTAGTCGCGAAGTCAGTTGAAGAAGAAGGTCGCGAAGTCGGTGTTTGCAAAAAGGAGGCAAATACGAAGGGTTCGCGACTAAGGAGAAGAGGAGGCAATCGCAAATGTGGAATGTTTGCAATATATCCTTGAGTTTGATATATCCATCTAGCCTTTCACCGTCTTGTTGTTTGGATGTAGCCGACTCTAATTGCACCAACAAAAAATGATGGTAGATGAAAATCTCTTATTTGAACAATTTTTAGTTAGACGTAAAAAATTAAGGATAAAAATGTTAATTTTGAACTCAATAATGCATTATCAGAGCATTTTTGGGAGTAACATAATAATCTTGAAAGTTGAGTATTTATGTAACGTTTAAGTAATTGTATTTCACTAGTGATTTCACTTTTATTTGAATTGTGCATTAATTTGCTTATTATATAATATTTGATTGCAATTTATGTTATTTAGAAATTTAGAATAAAATAAATTTGAAAAAATAAAATATTATTTCACATGAAAATTATATAAAATGATTATTTGGGAAAAGAAAAAAGCAATAATTTCTGTTATGAAATAAGAAAATAAGAATGAAATAAAAATAATAATATAATATTGAAGAAAGAGAATAAAATTCTATTTTAGAGAATAAAATAGAAAATTGAGTTGAAGTTGATTTGCTAAATAAAAGAAAATTGAGTTGAAGTTGATTTTCTAAAAAATAAAAAATTATATATTTGGAAACTAAAATAGAAAATATGGTTGGAGTCTTGGAGATGTATGAAATACGGTGAAACTGAAAGTAGTAGGCGATTCAATTTACAGCCCATGAAACGTGGATCCCACCCAATTCATACTTCATAGCCCTAACGGCAGTAGAACAGAAAATTTTCAATTTACAATAAAGCTGGACTCCACTTGGGTACGTTCAAATCTTAATCTAGGAACCTTACGTTTTCGGTTTTTTTTTTTTCAACAAAGGGAAGAGAGACGAAGATCAAGCTAGGTAAGGCTTTGAATATCTTTTATGTATTAGCAAAGATTATTGCGTATAAACTCATGCGGTGTTTAGGTTTGAATGTAAAAAAGAGAGAATTTACAGATTCAAGTTTCTTTTTTTGTGTGTGCGCAATTCTTCGGGATCAGATTTTTGTTTTATTGGTAATTCCTGTGTTTTGACTTCTGCAGGCAATCTTGAATTCAGAATTTCCCCCATCTAAAGATGGTAGGTTTAGCGACAATCGCCTTCTGAGCTGTAGGGTTAGGGTTTTGAGTTCTTATGAAGCTCTAATTTTTATTTTTCTTCTGTCTCAGCTTCCCCTCTCTTTGCTCAAGACTGCACAGGGGCATCCCATGGTAAGCTTTTGAATTCATGTGGAAGAGGGGTAGTGTCTCCTTTTCTTTTTTTTCTCTCTTCCTAGTTTATTGTTTAGTCTGATCTTAACTCTTTTTGGTGTGGTAATGCAGTTAGATCAATTAAGTTTTCCCAAGTTCTGCATGTTTTGAATGAACCCGAACTTATTAATAACATACAAAAACAACAAACCATGTGAATAAAGTAGTTACAGGAATACAGGAGTGTAATTCTCCTGTTGTAGCTGTTTGGGAAATTGGAGGGAGAATAACAATAATGATTTCATGTTTTGTCCTGTTGTTAGTTGAGGCTTTTGGCTAACATTCTTAAAGGCAACAGATTTTTTGTTGGTATAGTTTATCAGTTTCTGCATATTTATATTGTATCTCCAAAATATGCCACAAGTCCTTGGAGCCCATGAGATTCGAGGGATTTTGAGAATTCGTATGGGATTATTGTATTTGTTCAATTATCTCAATCTGGAAACAATTTTACAGTCACCCCTGCAAAGCAACCATTTAATAATACAAATAACTACTACAAAATAAGCACCCATCTTCTGTTCCCTTGGTACAAAGTCCAAAAGTGCCATACACACTATGTTGCAAGTGAAAAACGAATAATACTACACGAAAGCATTATTAATCATAGTAATTAAGAAAATAAACTAACCTCGTCAGGAACTCTAAGATACTTAATGGTATTGCCACGAATATAACATTCAGGCATTCTCCAAAATCTATCTCCATCCTGCATTAATTTTTCAAAATCAGGTGGTCTTGCACCAATACATTGAAAACCTAGCAATAATACATTAAAAAACAATGAATTACCTTTGATGTACAGATAACTTCACGAAGATGGATATTCATCCAAGTATCACAATTCACCAAATGACCATTATAAGTCTCTCCATTTTTTAGCTCCACCAACTGTATTAGAAAACAAAAGTTTCCAGATTGAGATAATTGAACAAATACAATAATCCCATACGAATTCTCAAAATCCCTCAAATCTCTGGGCTCCAAGGACTTGTGGCATATTTTGGAGATACAATATAATTTGGGAAAAGGCTCAAAAATGCCCTCCTTCCATCTTTTGGTTTAAAAATGCCCGTAACGTTATGTTTAGGTTAAAAAATGCCCTTCCGTTAACAGAAATATGACATGGAATTTAACAAAACAAATGATCAATTTTCATTGGTCCACATCATTTTTTTTTCAAATAAAAAGACCCACCCAATTAGCTAAACCCAAATCCGTTTTTGATTAGTCTTTGCATCTTTTACCCGTTCCTTGAGGGATTGTGTTTTGTTTTTCGAAATTGGGGAATTATAATTTGAATAGTGTCGGAACAGAGAGTGAAAGAATGAGTGAGGCGGAAATTAGGTGGATGAAGCAATAAACGATTTCGGTGCTTTGGCAAAGAGAGGGGAAGACTATTTCTTGATTAAGCCTGATTATTAGAGGATTTCATTGACCTCTTTTTCAGTTTTCGTAGTAACTTTATCACAGATGCTTTAGTAAATATGTTAATTGCCTGTGATATAGCTACAACATCAGTTTTCTTGTGTGAATTTGCTAAATTTTGGCTTCTCTTGAATAGATTTTTGATGGGCATAATGCTATGTCGACTGCTATTTTCGCTAAAGAAAATCTATTAAACAATGTTTTGACTCTTATTCTTCAAAGAATTAGTAGGGAAGAGTGGCTTCAAGCACTTCCACGAGCATAGTTGTGGATTTTGTGAAAACTGATAGAATAGAGTTTCAGCAAAAAGGCATGCTGCAAGACTTCTAGCTTTAATATTTTTCGCCAGTGAAACGGGTTTGGGTTTGGATTTGGGTAGGGCTTTTTATTTGACGTGGACCAATGAAAATTGACCATTTGTTTTGTTAAATTCCATGTCATATTTCTGTTAACGGAAGGGCATTTTTTAACCTAAACATAACGTTACGGGCATTTTTAAACCAAAAGATGGAAGGAGGGCATTTTTGAGCCTTTTCCCAAATTATATTGTATCTCCAAAATATGCCACAAGTCCTTGGAGCCCAGAGATTTGAGGGATTTTGAGAATTCGTATGGGATTATTGTATTTGTTCAATTATCTCAATCTGGAAACTTTTGTTTTCTAATACAGTTGGTGGAGCTAAAAAATGGAGAGACTTATAATGGTCATTTGGTGAATTGTGATACTTGGATGAATATCCATCTTCGTGAAGTTATCTGTACATCAAAGGTAATTCATTGTTTTTTAATGTATTATTGCTAGGTTTTCAATGTATTGGTGCAAGACCACCTGATTTTGAAAAATTAATGCAGGATGGAGATAGATTTTGGAGAATGCCTGAATGTTATATTCGTGGCAATACCATAAAGTATCTTAGAGTTCCTGATGAGGTTAGTTTATTTTCTTAATTACTATGATTAATAATGCTTTTGTGTAGTATTATTCGTTTTTCACTTGCAACATAGTGTGTATGGCACTTTTGGACTTTGTACCAAGGGAACAGAAGATGGGTGCTTATTTTGTAGTAGTTATTTGTATTATTAAATGGTTGCTTTGCAGGGGTGACTGTAAAATTTGTAAACTAGTTCTGGAATGGCAGTTTCTACTTTAAGTAACTAGGACTAAACTACTTGCTTTAGTGCTATCACTCAACATGACAATGAGGTTGAAAAATCTTTAGTTTTCATAGAGAGTACACGTTAATATACACAATAGTATTTTTTTACACACCTAATGTGCAGGCCTGAATTCTTTTTCCCGTGCCAAGCACACAACTTATTTTCTGATAATGGGTGGGTTGAGAATTGCACTATGTTGAGATGTGAAATGTGTGATCATTTGATGTAAAAGCTTAAGTTGTTGGGGAGAACACATTTTAATTTACTTAATAACATCTTGTACAGTACACTGAGGACGGTCCATTTACACCTTTATCGTGGTGCATTCTAGGGGCTTGGTTTGATGTAAGTAGGTGGAATCAAGATATTAGCTAATCTTGGTGTGACCAGACTCATGGATATTTTTGTCTGGTTATTCACTCAATGGGGCTTTTAGGGATGGGTTTCAGTTGTGTTGTTGTAGGCTGAAGTTATGTTACTAGCTAATCTGTGGTGTCTGGGTCTATGTGGCTAAACTTACTTTGACATACTTGGATTCAGAGCTGGAAAACATAGAGAACCGGGTAGAAAAGTTAAAAGAGGTATCAGCAGTAACACATGTCCAAGCAATAATGCAGGGAACTGAAGGTTGAACTTATAACACAACTCTGATGTTCCTAAAGGCTAAATAGAAATGCATCCATACTCTTGTTGCCTCTTTTCTACTGATAAAATAGATTTCTTGAAATGAAATCATTATTGTGGTTGGAACATTAGTGTTTTAGACTTCGAACATAGTGTTCTTCTCAAATAAGATGTGTAGCCAAGTGGTTTTCATATAAGATTTGGAAGTTAGATAAATCTTAGTTCTTAAGTAATTATTTTCCAATATTACTGGCTTATTTTATATAAGATATCCTATACAAAAAAGGATTATAAAATGTTAGATATCACAAGGTTGAACCCCTATTGATGTTGTTCTTTCTTGCATGCCTGTAGTCAACTGTATGTTCATTTCCTTGTGACTGTGAGTAGAACATTCCTGTAAGAAGAGAATTGATTACGCTGATGTGATGCAATTTAGCCAAATCAGACATTGTTGTGCTCCCTATGGACCGTTGAATCTGACACCTTAGGTAGGAGTGTGACTATATTAAGATGGCAATGAGAGATTGCTTTAGCGATGACGAGCGTCCATGTGAAATCTAACGTTTGCAGTTTTGACTAAATATAGCGGCGGTGCATGCTTTCTGCTTTTATTTTCTGTTTACATTGTATTATGCACTCTTCCCCCCTGTTTTTTTAATAGCTCATGACAGGCACATATGGGAAGTTATCCCAGCTTCTCTCGTCCATTCGCCTTCCACACAGTCATAGTTGATTCAGGAATGACATTTGAGTTTTGGAGGTTATCCTTTTGTTGATCTTTTAGGAGTGCCAGGAACCATCTTTTCCCAGTGTTTGTTTCCTCTGTTAGATGCTTTTCTTTTTGTTTGCGTGGGTTTTCAATACTAGCTAGGAAGGGAGATGATGTTTGAATACAACTGTTATCCTAATTTTCTGTACTTCTCCTTTGTTTGGACACATGGGGGGTGGGGGGTTTGAAAAGGAGAGGTAGGTGAGAAGAGTTTTCATGGGCAGCTCACATTTTCTTTTAAAAAGTCATAACGTTAACAAATAGAAGTAGCTATAAAATGAAAAACCCCTATATCCTTTCAGACGTAAAAGACAGATTTTACACTTTCACTTCTACAAAAATGGAAAAGAATGCAGATTGCCTTTTCTTTTGTACATGGAATAACTTTAGTATTGCAACATTATTTTACTGAGAGGCTAAGCTTTGTAGATATTCTTGATGATATATATATTTTAAAATATGGACATACCTACTTGTGTTTAGTGGTTTGAATAGTTCATTTTTATCACTGGGGTTGGAGACCGAGTTTGCAGTAGTTTATAAATTCTGGAAGCTTAGTCTGCCCTTGGCTCTTCATTTGACTAAGTTAATAATCCCTCTTAGTGCTGTTTGGGTAACTATGCTATTTGTGTAATTTTCCAGGTGATTGATAAAGTTCAAGAAGAAACAAAAAGCCGCGGAGGTACTACTTTGGACTATTAATTATCAGGAATACTTATAACCACTTCTATTTTAGCTATTGGATCAGTGTGGGGTTTGTTGATTTTACAAATACTGCCCTACTAGCCTAGAATCAGTGTCTGAACATTCAGCTTAATTAGTATATTTTAAAATCCTTTTGCAGATAGAAAACCACCTGGTGTCGGTGGACGAGGAAGGGGAAGAGGAGGTAGGGATGAAGGTGCTGCTGGAAGACAGGCGAAAGGCATTGGGCGTGGAATGGAAGATGCAGGTGCCAAAGGCCGGGGCAAAGGAGGACCTGGTGCCAAGTCTGGTGGAAAAGGTATGAAGTGTTCAATATGCAATTTTATTCTCAATTCTGCTAAAGCTTATGTTATCCCCGAGTCTCAATCCGCGGCACTGCATTTCCATGTGAGATATCTTATTCATGCATATATCTATCTAGCAATCCATTCATGTTCAATGCTTGAATTTAGTCTCCATACTACAGCAAGTCTGTGTTGTAACAGTCCTCAAGTATATTTGTGAATGCAACATCTATATAGCCATTTGCTAATAAGATGATTTTGGATGGTATTTATTGTACAGGTGGTGGCCGTGGACGTGGCTAATCGTCGTCATTTAGAGACAAAGAAGCCAGATGACAAGCTAGATATATTGTATCTAATTTTGTTTGTACTTTCAAATTATTAAAAGCAACTTACCGGAGAAAAAGCCTAGCTTCCAGTTATTATTATTTTAAGATGGAATGTATGTAGGCTTGAAATGTTCACTCTCTTTCCTTTGTGAAGACATGTAAGAGTGCGTGTCTTGAAAATATTTGGCCTCTCAGTATGTGTGTTATTTTAAATGAAAAATGTGCTAGCTTTCTTTTACCCAATCCGAGAAGCAGAGTTTCTTATTAAAGACGCCTTTCACTTTATACTTAGAATGTTAAATAACACGAGTAAATATTTCTGTACTTGAGATTAGGGAGGCAAACATTTGGATTTAACTATTATTTTCCAAAAGTTGTGATTATTGCTTCTTTATTTTTAGGTTTCAAGTATGCCAAAATTTGGATGAGTCCTCGTTGAAAATATGACATTTTTCTTGGAAAAATTACGTAATTAGACATACTTCATTACCATAGAAGTATATTATTATTACTATACTTTCAAAATATTGCGTATTTTGCCACTAATTAAGAGTTTATTATTATTACCTACATTTTCAAAATATTACGTATCATTACTAATTAAGAGTGTCCTACGTATTTTATGCTTAGATGCATGTATTTTTGCTATAGGGTGAGAGGCAAGTGAAATTGGTGAGGGAGGACAGCAAGATTCGATACAAGCAATCACACTAGATACATGTATTCGTATGTATTTGGTTGAAGCTAGTGAGATTTGCTAGGTATCTAGATACATATACGAAGCGAGTATCTTTTTTTGTATTTCCTTTTATAATTCTTGTTTTGTTTGAGGTTTGACGAAAGAAAACTTAACCAATAATTGAAGCCACTTCAAGGCAATCACAAAATCTTTAGTATAAAGACAAACTGATTACCGGATGCAGACAAAGAAGTCAAAAATGTTGCCATATAAAAATATCATTTTGTGTTGGACATATTTCTTTCCTCATCATTAGCCGTTAGTGTAGTTGATGTTGGCATCAAAGTAGATATGGAGTAGCAACAACATGTGATAGTTGAATCTCAAGAAATAGAGAAAGAAGAAGGAGAATTAAAGCCTCAGAAGACGAAGCGTGTTGCTTCCCTTGATATTTTCAGAGGCCTCACTGTTGCACTAAGTTTGACCATCTGTATCTCATAGATTCATGTTGCAGTAAGGACGTGAAGATTTCACGAGAAGAGTATTCATGCTGTAACATGATTGATTTTGTATTCTCTTTATCAATTTTAAAGAAGAGATTGATTTCTGTATCCCATTTGCCCTGTCCCCTAATGAAACCTGGCAAATTTTTGAGTTTTTCTGCCTGAATGAATTTAAGTCATTATCTTTATTTAACTACCTCATGTATAATCTTAAGAATGATCTCCTTAGTCTCGTGATTTGCTTGGACTAGATTATTGGAACCTATTTAGTGCATTAGGATGTACACTAATTCAGACATCGAATTTGTAGCTGATGGTCTTGGTTGATGATGCGGGAGGAGAATGGCCTATGATCGGGCATGCACCATGGAACGGTTGCAATCTTGCAGATTTTGTGATGCCATTCTTTCTGTTTATTGTGGGAATGGCCATAACACTTGCTCTGAAGGTTATCTTTGCATTCTTTTTTCTTCTTCCCATTATCAAGAAGATAAAGTAAGGTATTTGGTCCTACTCATTGGTGCTTAACTACTTATTGTGTAGAGAATACTAGAAAAGCTAGTGGCCATCAGAAAGGTGATTCTAAGGACACTCAAACTTCCATTTTGGGGCCTCCTTTTACAAGGTCAGTTATCTTTCTTTCCTTCCTTTTATTTTATTCTTCCCTTAAGTTTTCCATAATTCATGCAAGATCCATTCTATTCATATAGAATATATCATAGGAAATCTAGGCGAAGTGTTGGACTCACAGTGTACAAGCTTCTGAAATAAAGAAGTAACCTTTTCCCCCTTTCTCTGGTGAGGTTTCACAGTTCTTTAATGCTATTGACTGAATGTATAATCTGTTGCAAATCTGAAAAAGTAATTTAGGTTGTCTTCAGTGGAGAACATCTAGAGTAATTAGTCAATGTTGTGCTTTATAAGTTGATGATTTGTAGGACTTAAACATATATTGGATTTCCAAAAGTAGTCACACGTACTCACCTTAGGGGGTTATTGCTTTATTAGCCCTCTCTGTGTGATTCTGCCAACCTTCGCGATTGCAATAAGTTGTAACTACTATTTAGCTTTGAAGAATCTACAGATCCTTTCTCCTTTCTAATGGACAATCTATCCCAGAACGAATGATCAGTAATGACATCTACTGATTAGCTTTCCTTTAGGAAACAGAATTATGTTTGGCTTCAGATAGAAACTTTCAACCAAGTGGGAATCCATTTGTAAAACCTGGTCTTGCATCTCATCTTTCCTCTTCCCAAAATCATTAGTAGCCTAAACTCATCCTTTGAATTGTGGAGGGGGATATTTCCATGATCTTGACAAGCTAAATTATGGTGTTGACATGAATAGGATAAGGTTGTGTGGCATCCTCCAGGTAATAGTTTCTGATCCCACCCCCTTTTCTATCTCTCTTTTGAATGCTAATATCTTGTGTTGGTGATAATTCTCCTGCTTCTTATCTTTGTAGTGAATTGCTCTATCTTACTTGGTAGTGGCTATAATAGAAATAACAACAAGACAAGCCCAATCCAAAGGACTACCAATGGGATGGTTCTCCATTTTCAAATTATACAACTGGCAATGGTGAGTATTATTTTGGTGTTTCCAAAGTGGTGATAGCATTAAGGATCTCCAAGTTAGTACTAAACATTTCTTCATGATTTCAGGGTTATTGGAGCATGTGTTTTAGTAGTTTACTTGGCCACATTATACAGAACATATGTTCCTGATTGGAATTTTGTTTTCCAGAACCCGGACAGTGTTGATTTTGGGAAGACTTTAACCGTGAGTTTCACTTGTCCATGTTCCAAATTTACCTTTAATATTTCTATATTTAAAGTCAAAAGATTTTGCTTTTGGTATTAGGTAACTTGCAATGCGAGAGGAAATCTTGATCCTTTTTGCAATGCAGTGGGTTATATTGACAGACAGATACTTGGAATCAATCACATTTATCCACGTCCGGCTTGGAAGAGATCCAAGGTGATTGGTTCTTCACAAAAATTATAATCTTCCCTCTATTGTTGTTCTTTGTTATTTGCCATCTCCATTATCACCCGGATTAAGTTCATTTGTAACACCCTTTGATGGATCTTATTCTACAGGCTTGCACTAAAAATTCTCCATATGAGGGACCTTTCAAGGATGATGCTCCATCATGGTGTTGGGCTCCTTTTGAACCCGAAGGAATTTTGAGGTAGGATTCGTATAATCAATTCTCTCTTTTCGTTCAAGTCTTGTGTGCTCGTATCATCAGTACAATCTTTATCTTCGGATTTCTAGTTGCTTGATTAATAAAAGCTTTTAAAGTCTAATACCTTTTATGCTACTTACCAATGTTTAATTTTTCCTGTTTGGTAAATTCTTCTACTTAAGACTACAACTCAATCTCCTAAAGTAGTCACACGTACTCACCTTAGGGGCTTATTGCTTTACTAGCCCTCTCTCTGTGATTCTGCCAACCTTTGCGATTGCAATAAGTTGTAACTACTTTTTATCTCTGATTAATCTACAGATCCTTTCTCCTTTCTAATGGACAACCTATCCCAGAACGAATGATCAGTAGTGACATCTACTGATTAGCTTTCCTTTAGGAAATAGAATTATGTTTGGCTTCAGATAGAAACTTTCAACCAAGTGGGAATCCATTTGTAAAACCTGGTCTTGCATCTCATCTTTCCTCTTCCCAAAATCATTAGAAGCCTAAACTCATCCTTTGAATTATGAAGGGGGATATTTTCATGATCTTGACAAGCTAAAATATAGTGTTGACATGAATAGGAAAAGGTTGTGTGGCATCCTCCAGGTAATAGTTTCTGATCCCACCCCTTTTCTGTCTCTCTTTTGAATGTTAATATCTTGTGTTGGTCATAATTCTTTTGCTTCTTATCTTTGTAGAGAATTGCTCTCGCTTACTTGGTAGTGGCCATAATAGAAATAACAACAAAGACAAGCCCAATCCAAAGGACTACCAACGGGATGGTTCTCCATTTTCAAGTTACACAGCTGGCAATGGTGAGTATTATTTTGGTGTTTCCAAAGTGGTGATAGCATTAAGGATCTCCAAGTTAGTACTGAACATTTCTTCATGATTTCAGGGTTATTGGAGCATGTGTTTTAGTAGTTTACTTGGCCACATTATATGGAACATATGTTCCTGACTAGAATTTTGTTGTCCAGAACTCGGACAATGTTGATTTTGGGAAGACTTTAACCGTGAGTTTCACTTGTCCATGTTCCAAATTTACCTGTAATATTTCTATATTTAAAGTCAAAAGATTTTGCTTTTGGTATTAGGCAACTTGCAATGTGAGAGGAAATCTTGATCCTCCTTGCAATGCAGTGGGTTATATTGACAGACAGATACTTGGAATCAATCACATGTATCCACGTCCAACTTGGAAGAGATCCAAGGTGATTGGTTCTTCACAAAATTATATTTTCCCTCTATTGTTGTTCTTTGTGATTTGCCATCTCCATTATCACCGGATTAAGTTCATCTGTAACACCTTTGATGAATCTTTATTCTACAGGCTTGCTCTAAAAACTCTCCATATGAGGGACCTTTCAAGGATGATGCTCCATCATGGTGTTGGGCTCCTTTTGAACCTGAAGGAATTCTGATGTAGGAATAATTTGTATCATCAATTCTCTCTTTTCGTTCAAGTCTTGTGTGCTCATATCATCAATACAATTTTTATATACGGATTTCTAGTTGCTTGATTAATAAAAGCTTTTAAAGTCTAATACCTTTTATGCTACTTACCAATGTTTAATTTTTCCTGTTTGGTAAATTCTTCTACTTAAGACTACAACTCAATTTCTGCTATTCTCTCTACGGTCCTTGGAGTTCATTTTGGGCATGTTCTTATTTATATGAAGGTTAAGTCAAAATCTTCTAGACTTGACCGTCTCACCAAATTAAAGCAAAGTTACTGATATTCCAATTTTTGTAACTTCAGGATCACTCGTCCAGACTTTTGCATTGGATTGGCATGGGCATAGCTCTTTTAGTTTTAGGAATTATTCTCCACTTCACAGATGGTAAAATTCGCAGTTTATGAAATGCACTCGAAAGTTGAATATATCTTTTTTTCTCTTCCTCAATTTTCCTTTGATGGTGCTGAATGCAACTATTCCTTTAAATAAGCAATTATACACTTTCAGCTATGTCTGTGTAACCTCATGAGCAGTCGCGTTAGTGTTCTCTGCTTTCTACATTATGGTATAGTAGTCTTGTCAAAAAATCTGATTACTTTACTATATGTCCCTAGCTACAAATTGAACTGATCAACTTGGTACATTAGAATTGAAAGTTCTAGACTTTTACGATTTTAAATCACACTTCCCTCTGAAATGCAAGGCCATTGATTATAAAACAAAATTCTCAAGGTTCAAGTTGATGGAAAATGTTCCAAGTTTTATGTTTTTATCAATCAATACCGGATGATATAGAGCAGGAAAATGTATAACTAGGATTTTGCAGAATGAGTATTTTTAACAAGAAAAGCTTAGAGTGACAATATTCTGATGTGTCATCACCGTAGCAAGATTCACAAACTTCTAATCCCGATCCTTTCCTTTTGGTCCTTTTGGAATGCAGGTTGACATTTTGAACTTGAAGTATATATTTCTTCCACTAGAATGGATTGGTATGAATGCGATGCTTGTTTATGTAATGGCCGCCACATGAATTTTTGCAGGTTTCATCAATGGCTGGTATTATGAGGACCCTCATAATACACTGGTATTTCATTCATCTCTTTCATTACTTCCTCACTTTGATATGCTGCAGTCCATTGTATAAAAATAGTCAGAGGCGGATTCAGGATTTGAACATTATGGGCTCGAGTTTGAAATTCTACCACAACAAATAGGTTACTTGGTTCGAAATTTGTACTTATATGGTGAATTTTTTAGCACAAGCAAAGTTACTTATGCAGTACATCTACCTCTAGCCATCTGCTTTCTGCAGCTAATTGTCAAAACTTAAATAGGCCATACGACAATTGTTGATGTCGCACCCTATTTCGAACCGATCGAAACAGTTCACAACATAATATGGCTGCCACTCTGATTTTGGAAAAATAATGTTTTTTGTTTGTTTTAGAGTCGCCACCTAAATTTTAAGAAAAATATTAGGAAAATCATTTTTTAAATATGTAGATGTAAACTCTATTTTGATTTGCGAAACCAGTGAGATTCTGAGTATGATTTTGGTTACTCGAGGGGAAGGTGTTAAGCATCTCTCAGAGCCTATCCGAAGATAGTCCTTAAACTCAATTTAGGAAAAAAAATAGTTAGAAAATTTTGTTTATTTATTTGTTTTAAAAATCAATGATAATTAAATCTCGTTAGTTTAAGAAAAAGAGTAAAATACAAAGTACGACACATATACGTTGATAAAATAAATGTGCCTAAAGGTATGTCAATTTTATATATATAAAAAAAGAAGATGTATCTTGTATGAAACTTATCCAAGATATAAATGTTGAGTTTAAAGGATATGAAAATGTGTTATCTTATTTATATGCAAAATTAAGATGTAAAAGAAAAGAAAATAAAATGAGATAATAGTTGTGTAACACCCCGTATCCGAAACAGACCAAAAATGCAGATTTTGAGAAGTTGCAGGTGCAACCCACGGTTGCCATCCACGGACCGTAGGTCAGACCACGGCCCGTGCTGGTGGTCCGTGGTTCAACACTGAAACCCCTCCCAGACCTAGCTCAGAAAATCGGCCAAGTCCCGACTCACGGACAGACCCACGGTCCGTAGATCAGACCACGGTCCGTGGTCTGTGTCCGTGGATCGAGACTTCCCTTACCCA